GGGGGCGGCGGCGGCGGCGGCCGGGCGGCAAAAAAGCCAGAGCCGGCCCTGGTTACAGAACAGCCCATGTCATGGGCGGTGAAGTTACAGAAAAGAAAGTAGACTCTACATTTTCTAAGCATGGTAATTACAAACTTTTCTCTATGCTAACCCTTTTAACAAGAGTATTAGATCAAATATAAGCATGTAAACTGAACATTTTATTGCTTAAGACCCATTCAGAAATAGCTAGCTATCTGCTCTAGGTGCTGGTGTCATAACTTAATATACAGTTCATAATAATTAAATTGCATCACTTCCATCCCATGTACTCACCAACCAGCAAGCTAGCTAAACTAACCATTGAAACAACCCTTCCTGTTCAACAAATTTAATCTGTTACATTTCTCCCAGTTAAAAAAAAGGAATTCTAGAATGCCTTCCAGGTGATCACATGAGGGCTGATAGGAACAAAGAGGGAGAATGTTACTTCCAGAAACTAAAGTGGGGAGAATCTGGTGTGTTCCCCAAGAGTCTATTTCAAGAATTAATGTTAAAATGGAGGGAAATAGAGCATCAACAGAATAAGATTTTATATATATGTAGTATTTATTTTGTGTGTGTTATTGGTGGTCTGGTCTCTGGTGCTAGCATTTTTTACTTCTGTAGGAGCAGGGAGAAAAATAAAAGTGTAGTATAGGTTATTTGGTTTCAGCCAATTCAATTTAAAAAAAAAATACTGTCCTGAGACTCCTATCTAGGTACTGTAGGACTAGTGAATTGAAATGCCTCTTTTCCCTCATCATAGCATCACTTCAGTTATTCTTCACATTTGTTAATATTTGCACTCTCCCCTGTCAAGGCCTTGTTGTCTTTGGTGCATTGGGAGCTATGGGTGGGATAGAGAGGGGGAAGCAGAAGGGAGTACACTACTAGAACGTCTGTGGGTTTTTTGTTTTTCATTTTTTTTAAGGGAGGAAATAGGATTTTTTTAAATTTCAAAAATGTCATATTTTTAATTTTTTTAATTGTTTTAAAACTGTTGGTGAACTTTAGAGTGGTTTCTGAAACTTTGAGTTGGATATCAATAAGGTATGTTTCAGAATCAAACATATGTACTTCTAAGTGCTAGCAAACCTACTGTCCTCTCCATGAAAATTTCTCTTAGTAACTCACTTCCTTCCATGCTAAATAGTGTTTTCATAACTTTTATAAAAGCAAAAACTCTGGCTTACTCAGTATACTCCTGTTTCTTAAGATTTCAATGTTTTCAGGAAGAGGTTTTTAAAACACATTTTCTCTTGTACTGAACTGAGCATATTATTGAGGCTGAATAAAAAAAGAGCAACAAAAAGGTTTAATTGTTTTGATATGTGGTTTTTTGAAAACTCAATTATTTGGGCATCTTTCTTATTTAGATTTATAAAAAGATACTAGAAATATCCATCACAAGATCAGGCAGCCCTTCTAAAACTGAACATTCACAATAATAAAAAATCCTAACCTCTTTAAGTCAGTAGCCAGAATCCATACAATTACAAGCTGAGCTGGCCCCAGACTGTAACTATCTTATGCCAGTAAATAACTGTGGCTAATTGTAATTCCATCCATTCTCCAAATACCCTGCTAAAGATCAGCATGTCTCCAATGCTAAAACTCTAGACCAGGGATGGGGAACCTCCAGCCCGTGGGCCGGATCTGGCCCCCTGCTTAATTTCATACAGCCCGTGGCTAGTCTCCGCACCACGGGCCGGAAGCCCTGAGCCTCGGCACCCCCACATGGGGCTGGAGCCGCAAGCGCCAGTTTGTCCCGCTGTGGGGGGAAGCTAGGGGCCAGGCTGGTTGGTCGGTGGCCCCTAAGCGCAGGGGCGATTAAGAAAGCTCCAAGTCTGCGTGTGCCTACCCCCGCCTGTAGGCCCCCAATGGGGAACCGTGGCCAATGGGACCTGCAGGGGCGGCGTCTGTGGGCATGGACAGCGCACACTGTGCAGAGCTGTCTGGCCATATCGTGGCCGCTTCCAGGAGTGGCACGGGGCCAGGGTGGGAGAGGGGGAGTCGTCTTAGCCCTGCCACCGACTGGGAGCCACCTGAGGTAAGTGGCGCCCGGCTGGAGCCCGCACCCCAAGCCCCTGCCCCAGTCCTGAGTCTGCTCCCGCACTCAAAACCTCTTGGCCCCAGCCCCCTCCTGCACCCTGAACCTCTCATTTCTGGCTCCACCCCGGAGCCTAGGGGAAGCCCTGAGCCTCTGCGCTCTCCCGTGGGGCTATGTGTGGCCAGTGACAGATATTTTCTATGGTTCAGTGGCCCCCGATAGGAAAAAAGATTCTCCACCCCTGCTCTAGACCCCTGCACAGTAAGGGGGTGGGGAGAAGTCCTTCCAGAGGCAGGAGGCTCTCACAGAGAACCCTCTGCCACCAGCACCCTCTTCTGTATTGAGAGAGCTTCACTTTAACATCTCTGATGATTAAAGCTATGGCAGTGTAATACAGGAAGTGTAATATATGTTCCATTCTATATGCATCCGAAGAAGTGGGCTGTAGTCCACGAAAGCTTATGCTCTAATAAATTTGTTAGTCTCTAAGGTGCCACAAGTACTCCTGTTCTTCTTTTTACAGGAAGGAGAGGCCTTCAGCCTGGTAACCCAGATCCAAATAATTAAGACCAGTTCCCTGAGTGCCACCTGGAAACCTACAGAAAGCTTGCAGAATACATGTATTCCTAGTGCAAAGCTCTGCTTAATACACGAGTTACTGCATTCTGGAGGGTCTTCTGCTTCTGAATAATTTAGGTGTAGCCCTAAATAGTATTACAGTAGTCTAATGGTAAGGTGACAAATGCATAGATAAGTGTACCAAGTGCCACATCCCAAACAAAAAGTTGCACTCTCCTTATTAAGCACAGATGGGACAGTGGGCTCTTTGCTATGTAACCTTTGTTCTAATAAAGCCACAAAGTTGTGAGCCTGATTCATAAATGATTGTACACCACCTGTTAATAATGTTGATATAAGTTTAGCCAGTTCTTCTTTTCCCTCCTCCAGTTTAGTATTAGCTATCCAGATTAACCCTCAGCAGAACCTAGTCCTCATCCAAACACCAATTTCTTATAGACAAATCTCTCATATTCATTCCACTGCAGCTATGGGATCATTCATTATTTTATTGGCTATTCTATTTCCTTTAATAAAAAATGAACATCCAAACTGTTTAACTGGCATGTGTTTGAGGGGCAATATTTGCTTCCATTTGAAAAGAAAAGCTCATGACACAGCTTATTTTATTGATATATTGTACTTGAGATTTTACCAAATCGAAAGTGATACTAAGAGACAACTGATGCACACAACAGATAGGACTTTTAATTACATTTTCTCTTCAGACTTTTTGGAGTAGAGAAAATATGCAGAAAAGATGAGCCAGTGTTTATGTCATGAAGAAACATTAACATGTAAATGATAAACTCAGTGCTGTCTTTTGATTTGACTGTGAGAGATAGGATACCTGCTTTAATGTTTCTAGAACTGTATATAGCTTGATTCACATGACTTTAGAAGGTGGTAGACAGCCGCATGTAGGAGAAGAATTAACAACAACAACAAAAAAGTGGGGGAAGTGGGTGTGGGCCATAGTTGCATGGTCAACAAATACTTTTAAGTGTTTGCTCTTTCATTTTTGGGCAAAAGTCAAGAAGTCTGGTGTGACATTGTGAAGTAGTTGCTTGTAAGAACTTCCGTTTCTGCCTCAACTTGTTTTGTATGGAAGATGTAATCTTTAAAATGGAAAAATGCTTTGACAAGATGGACTTCTGCATATCGTACAAAATAAATGTGGGGTTTTTTTGATGTGCCTTTTCTGAAATCCAAACTACTGCAAAACAAGGTGCATGATGCATATCTGTGCATTTTAATCTCCTGCACCGCACTCTGTTTTCTTTACCATCTCTTCAGCATATTACAGCTGTTCTTAGAATGTGCCTCCCAGGACTGTGTTTCTGTTAGCAACTTCACCATACTGTTGCTAAAAAGAAAAATAAATAGCCATTTATTTATTCAATGATAGGACTTATTTTCTGTACCTTTTTAGTAGCAAGACTGACAAGTAAGGCTCCCTGAATTCTGACATTACAACTAAATACTAAATAAAAACCAAAGCAGAACAGATTAAAGTAGGTTTCATATTTTCTGGCTTGATATATGATATAGTGATTGTTATGGTGCTGACTTTAGAGAATCCTTGTTTAAAGTGATTTGTGATTATTGGTATTTTTTTCCTTTGCATTGATAGTTAGTTAGTGACCAGAGGTGGTGCTAGCCCATTGTGGGCCCTAAGCAGGAATATTTTTGCCCCCTTCCAAACACATGCTAATAATTAACAGCCCCCCCCCCCCCACCAACCCTTGAGCTGCTTGGGGTCCTAAGCAATTGCTTAGTCTGCATACCCCTAGTGCTGGCTCTGTTAGTGACTTTGGTTAATTGAACTACTTTAGACATTCCGCAAACAGGTGGTGATGTCAAATCCTTTTTGTGTTTTCCAGATGGACTTTCTGGCCGAGATCAGCCAGTAGAGCTGCTAAATCCACCTAGAGTGAACCATATGCCCAGTTCTGGTAAGAAGAAAAATACATTTCTGTTGAGTGATATTCCAAGAAGAAAGGCATGCAGAGTATTGTCTTACTTTCTATTGTAAAAGGGTTAGCAGATTACAGCTGTAAATTTATTGAATGATGTCTACTAGGATTTATAAAAATTCACTTTTCCATGGTGAGTGAAAATGTTGATCGAGTGAGTGTGATTGGGGAGCTGCTGGCTCTTCTGAAGGAGAAGTAAGAGGAAAGGAGCAGGAACAGTCCAGGTGCTCCTGGGTTTTTTTATTAGGGGGGCAGGGAGAAGGCAGAGTGGCTGGAGCTGCGGGTTGTTCACAGAAAGTGAGGGGGGACCAAGAGCAGAGTAACTCCTGAATTACTGGTCTTCTCACAGGCTGGAGGGAATTTCAAAGTGAAGTGGCCTCTGAGTTGCTGCTCCTTAGGAGCTGGGGAGAAAGAGAGTGAGGAGTAAAGAGCCTTCTTATGCCAAGATTTATCAGAGAGGACTGACAGAGAGATAGTGACTAGCATGATGTCAGGGGTGGCAGAACTAATTAAACAGAATTCTTTCTAAAGATACCACCTGGGAGAATTCTCACTCTTGGGTTTTGATTTTCTAATGTGCAGAATTCCCACAGTTCTTAGAATGTTGACCCCTGGGATCAATGACATCGGTGGGTACTGGGTAAAAATATCTGCAAATCACAGCTGCTATCTTTAAACTGGAGTACCAGGTCTTCATGGTCAAGGGTCATGTGGGGATATGGATAGAGATCTTAAACCTGGGGTTGATTTTTTCCCACTAGAAACATTAGGAATTTAAAAAGCTTGTCTATGAGGGACAAGACCTAATTTGGGCATCAAGCACAAGCAGTCTTCAGTGTGGATGGTATTGTTGCTTGTCTGCTGGGCCACAGGCATAGAAGTGCTGAGAGCTTGAAGATCAGCTGTGGAGTGGAGGGCTATAGAAAAAAGGCCATCCTGGATTCACTTTGGCCTATTCCTCCCTCCCTCAGGTCCTTTCTTCATGGGAGGGATGGCGAAGTCTCTCTGTAGAGAGCTTTCACAGGCTCTTAATCCGTTTTTCACCAGGCACCAAAATCGCAAGCGTTTTTAAAATATTCCATAGTATTAAGCCTGCTGCCTGCAATTACCAGTAATGTGCAGGCCCTCTCTGTTCGAGGCAGACTGGAGGTTTTATGTCTCTGATGACCCCCAGTCACCTGTGATACATGGATTCTGACCATTGTCTGAGGTTACAAGTTCATGTTTTCCTAAAACCCAGCCTGCTCTTAAGCACCCAACGATGCTCTTGGGCAGGGCCGGCTCTAACTTTTTTGCTGCCCCAAGCAGCAAAAAAAAGCCCCGCCCCCACCGCCCTCCCCTGCCGAGCGCCGCGCCGCCAGAGCGCCCCACCTCCCGCGGAATGCCGCGCCGCACCCCTCACCCCCCCCCCCCCCTTACCAGGTGCCGCCCCAAGCATGTGCTTGGGTGCCTGGTGCCTGGAGCCGGCCCTGCTCTTGGCTTTCTTAATATCAGGGAGGAGATTTTTTTGCAGAAAAAACAACCCCTCCTTTTAAAACTTGTGACACTATATGAAAGACAGAAGGGAGCTTTGTTCCATACTTCCCAGGAATCAAAAGACCAGAGGGCTAGGTTGACATGTTTCAGCAAGGAGGGCATCAGAAATAGGTTAGCATGTTTTTATGGACAAGCACGCATGAAAGTTTATGCCCAAATAAATGTGTTAGTCTCTGAGGTGCCACAAGGACTCCTCGTTGTTATTGGTAATAGTAAGTTACAAGTTACCTTGTGCACTTAATGGAGTCGTCTTTGGTTCTTCCATTTTGGGTTATAAAAAGCTATGCTTAAAATAACTTCAAGAAGGGAAGACATAGTGGTAGATGCTGTCAGTGTCATTCTGGTAATGATGGAAAAGCTTTATTGAAGGGGAATGTTTTGTCATTCCCAAAGGTGACAGGACTCTGGATTTCTCTATTCTCCTTTGAAGATTCATTCCACAACCAGATCCCCTCAACTGAGAATGCCTTGTCCCTGTGTCTTGAATGCTTCATTCCGGCCTTTGTGATCTGCAGTGTCATAAAGGAGTGCAAATGACTTAGAGAGACAGGATGGGTGAGGACAATCTTTTATTGGACCATGTTCTGTTGGTGAGTGAGACAAGCTTTCAAGCCACACACAGCTCTTCTTCAGGTCTGGGAAAGGTACACTCCCAGCATCACAGCAAAATGCAAGGTGGAACAGATTGCTTAGGATAAATATTTAGTACATATTGTAAGGGACTATTCATGGTAGAGTGGCCTGTTAACATATCTGCAGTCATCGAACAAAAGAGGGGATTAGTGGTCCCCTTACAATATGTGCCAACTACTTATTGTGAACAATCTGTTCCACCTTGCATTTTGCTGTGATGCTGGGAGTGTACCTTTCCCAGACATGAAGGAGAGCTCTGTGTGGCTTGAAAGCTTGTCTCACTCACCAACAGAACTTGGTCCAGTAAAAGATTATCCTCACCCACCTTGTCTGTCTAATATCCAGGGGCTGACAGGGCTATAACTACGCTGCATGCAATTGTCAGAGATGCAGGGTGAAATATTCCAAAGTGCCTAAGTGATTTTGGAACTTCTCTCATTGATTCCCATTGATTTTTCAGTGGAACTTAAGTGCCTAAGTGATGTAGGAACTTTTGAAAATGTTGCCTGCAGTCTCTAATATAGGTGGAACCTGATCTGTTGGTGGCTTTTAAGAACAGTTTAGGAACATAATTTCATCTACCTTATGTTGTAGGTGATCACAATTACAATTTCTTGTTACGATGTGTTTTTTTTTTTAAAGCTACAATTTTGCAGGACCAAAATAACATAGTATGTAAACTCTGTGTGTCAGCTGTGAAGTAGCAGTTTATTAAATAAACATAATTTCCAAAGTTGCTCATATCCTTGCTGATGTGATTCATGATGTTGCATTACAAGAAAGAATTATAAATGAAACAATGGTGACTTCTGCTTCATTAGGAACCGAGAAGAAAACATTTAGGAAGAGGCTAAAATCTGTCAGGCACAGGTGGTTTTCCAGTATCTAAGAGGGTGTTATAAATAATGGAGAAGAGATTATTTTTAACAACTATTTTCAAAGTTGCATGGAAGTGTCCTTCAAATATATAATTTAAATATATAAAACTAACATTTTCTTTGAGTTTTAGAGGTGGATCAGGCATACATTTTTCTGTAGTTCAGTCACTGGCATAGCAGAACTAAAATACTTTCATATGTATATGTTCAAATCTAATTTGTAGGATAATTATTTCTTAAAATATAACTGTTTTTTTCCTGGTTAATGGAAGACTTAATGTGTAATGATTGTGAAGAAAGGAAACATTTTCTCTTCGGAATTGCATTATTTGTAATTGAGCTTGCTGATTTTTTTAAAAAGTTACATAAATAAGTTTAGCTGGAAATTTCTTTTAGTCTTCAAACTAATGGAACTCATTAATGCTGCAATAGTATTCAGATGACATAAAAGATGTCTAAGTCAGCAGCAACTTTAGGGGAAGCAAAAAATGCTGTACTTTGTAATAGGGATTTTTTTTTCATGTAATGGGCCTTTCCCTTTGTTTTTATTTGCTGAATTCAGAAAAGTTAATAGGTGGTTCTAAGGTCTTCTGACCAAACTGATTAGGTTTTCAAGCTGCATGAACCAAACACACACAGCTTGAGAAATAGCTTTTCACATGTCTGTGTTTTAGCTCGCAGGTGCTCACTAGATGTCAGTCTGCTTATTCAATGAACTTCGATCAATGGTGAGGATGTGAGGTTCTGCACACAGGAGTTTAGCCTATATATTAAAATGTGAGCTTGTATTAATGATATTTGTCTATGCCACTTGAATGAAAGCTGCTTTGAGGTTTTCATTGTAAAACTAGAATCTCCAACATTTTAATCAGAATTGATGCATTATGTAAAATATATAGATTAGCCTCTTCAGGATTTAAATCAAATATTATAATGTTTTGTAGAATGCCCTCATTGAATGTTTGATCAAATACAATAATGTCTACATTAAGTGTACTTTCATTTTAGCACTAGAATGAGTATGATTTTTTTTTTAAGTTTCATGCCGCTTAAGCTGGAAACACTTATGTGAAGTAGTTTTCTTGTCAGTGTAAACTTTATTGTTGCTCATTTGCTACAATTGAAATAATCTTAAGCAATTTCTCTACTATTGGAAGTATGAAAACAACTTGGTGTATATAATTTGTCAGGAAAATGCTGGAATGCACCATGGGAACATGTTCTTCTTAAACTCAAAAGTTCTTAGTGCAAATTGGCACTAGTTTTCCCACAGCTGATCTACTATGCACGTCATGACAGATCTGTCCGGTTTAAAGGTGACTGGCCTGTGTCCTTGTAGCATATTCCAATACATTGACTGAGTTTGTTCCAGGAAAGTATTAACACATTCCTTAACAATGTTTTGGCTGTGGTTTTTATAGATAGATGGCATTCAAGGAACAAAGCAATTACTTTGACATGTCATACCAACCACTGTAAAAGAACTGGTTAATGAGGGAGATAATATGCTGCTTATAAAGCAGGTATTTAGAGCAGTGTTTAAGCATAGCTAACAGATGCTATTTACTCTGTAATGTGGATGTCAGAGTGGAAAAGGTGTATCAAGATGATTACGTCAGCAATAGCAACCTTCACCACCACGCCTCACTGGTTTGATGGAAAATCTTGGTGGTTGTAATGACCGTAGCAGACCAGAGATGGGAGGTTTCAACATTTTAAGTAGGCTAAACAAAGCCTGTTGCTGCCCAAGATACAGAGTAATCCCCCATAAGTGCTAGGGATTGGTAGTAAGCAAAAGGAAAAAGTAAATAGATTCTACTACTGTCTTAATAGCCTACACAGTCAAAATTTGTCAACATATTACTGTGGAAGTTTTCCCAGACTCTGAGACTGCCGTGTAATGCCTTTAATAGAAGTTCAGCAAAAGAAAAG